TCCCAGGGATCTCAAAACCACAATCTGAGCACTGCTGATTAGAGGAATCCTTGAATGCATTTCAGAGACAAGCAATGATTAAAGAGATGTTTTAAAACTCCACCTACCTGCTGTGGATATATGAAGGATATAGTAACTTCCTACTTCTTGGGCAAAGTTGAAGAAGACCTTGAGCTGGGATAACAGCAGTAGCAGTGGAGAAGAAGTGCTGGGTGCGAGAGAAATGTGAAAGGAAGATTCAGCACAACTTGATGACTTTTCAAATGCAGGGAGGAAAAGTTATCAAGCCTTGGCAATTGGGAGGAATGTATTACTGAAATTAGGAAAGGACATAGGGAAAATGTCTTTCATTGGAAATGTGATGAGCGTGGCTGTAGGTGTCTTTTGTTTGAGATGAAGAGAATCTGGATGGTTAAAGATGCTAAACTAAAATTGGGAAAAACGTCTGAGCTAGAGGTTTAGATTTTGGAGGCATTAATATATGGGGGTAGCCATGAAAGTTAATAAAATATACAAAGTATATGGTATTGAGAAGAGTTGATGATTTAGCAGAAGGAGAGGAGCCTATTTGTGAAGTGTTCCTTTTAGGTGCCTGACTGCTGCTTTCTCTACTAGACATAATAGCAATGTTTAGATACTGTCACTGTTAAGCCCCTTCAATTGCTGACAAAAATAGGGCATATTTTTCTATAATTTCTCATTTTTTGTGTTGTTATTCATGTTTCCATGTTTTCTACTCTTTCCATCTCAACTTTATGTGCATAGCATATTATTCCAGACCTGGACACTTCTCATCTGGACTGTTAAGTTTTCTGACCCCACACTAGGTTCATGCTGCCATTATAGTCTTGTTACTGTCTCCAGTGTGCTCTTCTCCTTAAATAACTTCTCTTTACATTTTTAACCCTCTAACAGGTCATAAATTGTGATATTATTTTACAATTACAACTTGGCTGAATTTCTTATCATTTCACTCAACAATGATTTACTGAATAAATTATGTCTTCCATCATGTATTTGTTTAGTTTTTGCCTACTTGTCCTTTAATTTTGTACCTTTATCATTTTTGTTTCTCTTATACTTCAAGTTTTCAAGTGGACTAACCTCAAGTCACTTATTATTATTCAAAATAGTTGCCTAATGAATGCCTTTAAAGATGAGTGCTGGCTGAATGGGGCATTAATTGAAGTTATAGAAATTCCCTCTAAAGATTTTTTTAAGCATATAATAGGCATGTTTTCTAAAAGAATTTGAAAAATTCTGGCAAAGGCTTGTTAACGGACCCATTGTGAGGTCTCTTTATTTCTTTTGTTTCTGTGACCTGAGGTTGTAGAAGTATAAAAAGATTATAGGTAATTATTTAGAATGGCTTATTATAGATCCACTGAAAGCTGAAATTATGCATTAAATAATATTCAAGAACTTTCTTATTTTGAATGTGTCAAATATTTTATTAAAAGTACTAGAGTGGAGCCATGGTTATGAGGATCACATAATTATTCTGGTAATGACTTGACAGATTATTGGGTAGTGACTGATTTCTTTAAATGGAAGAGGAAAAATTAATATGAAAAAGCCTCAAGGACATATATGCTTATCTTTCCCTTTTCTCCTTTATTATTCAATAGATATTTTTAAGTGTCATTTATGTGCCAAACATGTAGTAGACACTGGGGAACAAGAATAAACAAGGTGAGGTATAGTCCCTGCCCAGAATAAGCTTAACATGTAATATAGAAGAGAGACATTAAATATATAATCGTACAAATAAAATTTGGTTAAACATGCACCTGCCATGAGGAAAGAATACTCTTTTTCTTATTGTGGTTTGGGTGAAAGTTTACAGGGCAAATTAGTTTTTCATTCAACAATTTATACACATTGTGTTTCATGATACTAGTTGCATCCCCTCAATGTAATGGCACTCCTTCCACTTCCTCCCTGGGTTCCCTGTTTACATTCCATCTTTCCTGTCTCTTCTTGCTTTCTGAGTTTTATTTTTGGGAGCAGATGTGCCATTTTTGTCTCATGGCTGATTGTTCAAAGGAATATTTCTTCATGGATGTTATTGTTCCCTTTCTAGGCCTGTCCACTGTTTAGCTGTAAGATAGTCCCTGGGGATGGGTTCGGTTCCAGATTTGAAGGGTGTCTAAGGGCTATATCCTTGAGGGTTCCATCAGCCTCCATCAGACCAGTAAGTTTGGTCTTTTTTATGATTTTGAATTTTGTTCTGTATTTTTCTCCCATTCTTCCCAAGATGTTCTACTGATAATAAGTACTCTTGTAACACAAAATGGAGAGGACTTGACTCAGTCTAAGGAGCTCTGATAGCACAGTGCCTAAGGCATCTGACTGCTAACCAGAAAGGTTGGTAGTTCAAACCTACCAGCCACTCCACAGAAGCAAGACTGGGCAATCTACTTCTGTAAAGATTTACCACCTCAGAAACCCAATGGGGGTTGCTATTGGAATCAACTCAGTGGCAGCAGGACTGGTTTGGTTTTGATTTTGACCCATTCTAGTCCATAGAAAGAGCTCTGGTGGTATAGTGATTAAGGCATTTGGCTACTAATGGAAAGGTGAGTGGTCCAAACCCACCAGCTGCTCTGCCTAAGATAGATGAGGTAGTCTGCTTTCCTAAAGATTTATAGCCTTGGAAATCCATTAGGGGTCACTGTCAGTCAGAATCAACTTGATGGCAGTGAGTTTGGTTTTGGAGTTTGAGTCCACAGAAAACTTCCCTGAGGAGGTAATCATTTAAATTGTGACCTATAGATTGTGATGTAGTGCCTAAGACATTTGACTGCTAACCAGAAGGCTGGCGGTTCAAACCCACCAGCCACTCCTTGTAAGGAAGATTGGGCAATCTAGTTATGTAGAGATACTGCCTCGAAAACCCAAGGAGGGGGTCACTATGAGTCAAATTGACTAGATGGCAGTGAGTTTTTTTTTTTTTTTTTTTTTTTAATATATAGATTGAGTAGGATTTAATAAGGCAAAGAGTTGAGCATAGGGCATGCTCTGGGCAAAGGGGACAATAGCATATGCAATGGTGTCAAATAGTGGGATTAAGCATGTGATTT